ACCACCAAGCAGCTGCAGCACACCAAGCATCTGCAGCGCCCAGCGCAGCAGCGGCAGCAGCAGCAGCAGCACCAGCAGCAGCAGCAGACCACCCAGCGGCGGCAGCAGCAGCAGCAGCATACCCAACGCCGCGGCAGCAGCAGCCGCAGCAGACCACCCAGCGCCAGCAGCAGCAGCAGCAGCAGACGACCCGGCGCCTGCAGAGCACCCAGCGCAGCAGCGCCCAGCGCAGCAGCGGCAGCAGCAGCAGCACCAGCAGCAGACCACCGGAAGCCCGGCTAGCTTTCGTTCACCCCCTCTGGCCTCAAGTTAAGTTCGGTCACTTTGAAGAACCAGGTTCAGAGATTTTTCGCATGTTCAACCTTTGCCTTGTGAAGTGTTTGACCCAGATCACACCACAAATGGGACTGTTGGACTGTTCCGACATTGACCGTACTTCAGCCACTCCAACGCTCGTTCGATGTCAGTCTGTGTCGTGTTCGCCCTAAGGATCAGAATGGGCCCTCCTATAGTCCTAGTTCACAAGGGGTCGAAGCCCTCTAGCGTTAAGGGTGGCGGGCAGGGGCCCCGAAGCAAACCCTTGTTTGGGTGGCAGGGGTGCGGATCCTTCGGGCGGTGAGTTTGGGGTTCAAGCGACATCACCGCTTTGCAGCTTTCTGAACGGCCTTCCATTCCGCCCAAAAACCACCAGGCCCGGCGGCGGGGACCGCGTCCCATGCAAAAGACCTCCAGCGCAGAGAACGTGGGCCACACGGTTTTGGATCAGAGGATGGGGGAGGAGGGTTTAAGAAGGACCTTCCCCTACTAATGCGAGGCCTTTAGTGAGGCCTTTTTGAAGGAACTTGCAGCAAAATGCCAGCAACTTCATTCATATAGGCACGAACAGGGTGACCAATGAACCTTCTTATCCACTTGGGCACAGTGCATGTATCACCTGGCACAGATGCTCACCAGATGGTCAAGAAGCTGTGCAACGTCGGAAGTGTTCTCCAAGGACCGCTGCCCCCTTTTGGAAGCAAGCAAAAAGATGGAAGGTAAAGCTGTAGCATCCCAGCCAACGACAGCAAGCACTGGGCTGGCCGGCTGCAGAATCCCTGGATTCTGCAGCCGGCCCGGGCACCAGCAAGTAGATCAAGTAGCAAATAGGGGACATCATTTTTCTTGTGACAAGTTGCCTTCAGCAGGCGGCCAGTTTGGCGGGAACGCGGCGTGCATGGAACACGATCGAACGTCCGTCAGAGTCGGAAGGACAGAGTGCAGGATGACCTGACATGCCAGTCACTGGAACATGAACCATGATTGATGTCAGCCAGCTCCAGTTCCGAGGTGATGTGTGGTGGCAGAAGAGGATGGAAAGCAAAGTTGCAGACAGCCGCTTCTGCCTGGAGAAGGTTGGAATGAAGGCAGGGCACCGAAGTAAGCGACGGAGTCAGTCCTTGGACTGCAGAATCTGTACCTTTCCTCGATCTCCCGGCTTCCGCCCACGTTCTGAGCGCTACCATATGCCACCAAAAGTCTCAGGATGTGTTTTTGTTTCCAGCAGGTTCTTGCCTTGCCAGAGGGGAAAATCAGGGTTATTAAGTTAAATCAAACGCTGATGGTCCTTCTTCTGCGCATGTGAGAGGTTTCGATACCATGCCATACATGGCCGATACCTGCCGATACATGTTGCTGGATCACCGAGCATTTGGGGGGTTGTGCAAGAAGGCTGGAGCACGATGAACTTGCTGGTAGGTGACCTGTGAGGAAGGAAGCAACACACTTCAGTCAGGTTCAACATGTTCATGAATGCGTTGACGAAAAGATTACAACTAAACACAAGAATCATCAGCACATCATGGGCCAAGTATTCGGAACATGGTCATCCGTTCGGGGCCATGCTACCCACAGACATGGGGCGGGCCCTGCAACCGGCCGATGATTCCGTTTCTATGGCCAGATTTTGCCGGAATGACTCAGGCCAGGGCTGTGGACTCCTTTTGCACTGAAGATTGCTTGCCCTCCTGCTGTCTTTGAGAGCGCGGCAGCCAGCTGCCTCCTCGCTGGCTTCAACCTCGTCACAAGGACGACGATCGGTGGAATTGCTCACAGTTCCAACAGACAGAGGTTGAATGACCCGAACTAGACTATCCCAGTTGGGTACCCCAGGTGACGGGTCCTAGTTCAGGTCACTGGACACCTCTCTGGGTTGATCGGTGGAACTTTTGGCGTCGAGGCGATGTGAAGCGTGGTGAAAGGAGCTGGAATCCCCGCTGGAGAGAAGCTTCCAAGTCCATGAAAGCAGATGCGGATGCCAGAAGGAGGCACTGGGAGGGAGCGATGACAGATTCTTTTTCCCTTATTCTTTTCCCTTAGAATAAGAAGGTGGCCCAAGGAGCTACAAACAATTCCCGAATTACTTGTTGCTGCAACTTACCAGGTGAGATCTTGCGTTGATGAGACTATTATAAACTGATCATGTCGTGTTGCTTAGCTGCTAAGTTGAAGGAAAGGTGGGGGCGACCTTCTTGCAGAGGTCCAACGGGTCACCTCGCGGGAGCTCCGCGAGGGCCTTGATCAAGTTCGGTCATTTTGAACTGGGGATCGCCTCAGTAAAAATACCACCTGGTTCTTCAAAGTGACCTAACTTGATGACCTGGTTGGTTCAGTCACTTAAGCCTCCGAGTAGGGTCACGAAAAGGAACCTTCAAAAGGTCACTTTGAAGAAGCTGGCATACAGACCCATACATTGGCTCGCCTCATTGGATCGTGAAGCAGTCAATTAGCTTTGGATCAAGTTCGGAGGCCTGCTCAAATTTGGTCAGTGACGTGAGGTGGACAAGGCAGACCTGATACACCCCTGGGCCCCTGGACACCCCTGGGCCGCTATTAAGCTCTAAATGCATTGTATCTAAACACTCAATGCTGTTTGCCACTGAGTCACCGACATTTATGTGGCAGCTGCATGCAGATGTTGTCGCCATTCAATGTGACAACATGTTGCTTGCACACCGAAACAACAAATTGATCATAAGGCAAGAATCCCTTGCCAACAATTTACTAGACTTTCTTCCAGTTCCTACCGGCAGAGGTTGAAGAACCCGAACTAGGCTATCCTATAGGTACCCCAGGTTTTCAGGTCACTTAACCTTTGTTCCTAAGACTTCTCCCAGTCTTGGTGATCTTTAGACTCAGCTCCAACCGCCGGTGGCTCCTACCAGCCGCAGGTGGCGACCAGCGGCTCGCACGACACCTCCGGTCTACCCGCATCTTCCGTCGTTTGCCCCGCTCGCCCTCGCAGAGCGCGGCAGACAGATGCGAAAAGAAAGGGAGTTTGGTGCGCGCACGCTGTGATGGGGGGGGCTGCTGGTGAAGTAGATACTCAGACTCTGAGGATCCGCGAAGGCAGGTTGGAAGTGGAAGAAAGATCGCTTCTTCGAAGGCGTTCTCTTGACGAACTGGGGGGGTCGATGCTGATACAATGGATAGGCGCCTATAGCAAGGACGGAACAGACTCAGTTTGTTGTAACAGTGATTGCCCTGGAGCAGTTTGCAACCTGCATTGTACATCATTGTACTATATATTGTAGTTGATTTCATGTCAGAAACTACTGGAAGCAAGAGCTGCTAATTTCACCCCAAAGTTTGGAAGGGGGTTGCAGGACCTTTGGCCCCAATTCCCAATGGAGTGACGTTTTTACCAATGTTTCTTCTTTGCGAAGGCTTTGGGGGCTGCATGTGGAGGTCGTTGAATACCACCGCACCAAGAAGGTGCTGGCAGGTATGTTTTGGACCTGCATGACCTTCAACAATTGAAGATGCTCAAATAGGCTCCTAAGAGCCGCTTTTTGAGGTTTCCGATGCTGTTAGGGGATTGTGTCACATGCCTTACCCTGACCATGTCACGACCCCGAAAAAAGCCTCACCTGAGACAGCGGGCAATGTCTGGCCGCGGAGATCGCCCTTGAGCGGAGAGCGCCCCATTTGTTCTTTGTTCACTTGGACCGAACAAAGACCAATTCAGATCGATTGAGGTTGTAGAGCCCAAGTCCTTCTTCTGCATTCCACAGGCGCCACCGGGATTCCAACGGATTTTCCGCGCGACGTGCGCACACGGAAGGGGGAGGTCTTTGGTGCGGATTCGACTGAATAACTGGCTGTTTATGGAACACACGAGGGTATTGGGTGGCGTTGGTGGCTGCTTGGGCATCTTCATGTATAGTTTTTAGCTTCATGGTGTAGACATATTAGTAGACTCTCAATTACTAAAACCCACCATGGAAGTAGATGGCTATATCCCCCAAAAGGTGTTTGATGTAAAAGATGCACCTGGACCCTCCAAAGTACCCTAGGCCCTCGAACCTTGGACATGACCTCCAAAAAACAGATGTACCGAAAAGTACTTAGATGATCTTAGATGTTAACTGTTGACCACTCCAAAGTAGGTAGACATGTCAGACGTCTCATGCCTTCCTTTGCTGGGCAGCGCTGCACGTAGCGCAGCACTGCTTTTCCGTGGAAGTCAGGTGCCAGAGGCTCTGGCGCAGCAGCCTGCAACCGATGCCGGGAGTCCCAGAGGGATGCGCGTCCGGCATCGCCGGGCGATGAATAGGAGAATCTTGGTTTTGTCCCAGACGCCCTTGGTTTGGACCATGAATAACTTTGGTTGACCTGTTTTTGTGGCACTAATCCTTCAATAGTGAATGTTTGTTTGGGATTCAGGCCATGACATCAATGGCAATGGTGGATCAGGAAGCCTAGAGTTGCCTTTACTCCTTGGACGGTGGAAGGTGGAACATGCTGCTTCTCAAGCATGCACCCTGGATGAGCTTTCAACCAACTACATGCCAAAGCAAGGGGCAAGCCGATGTGATGTTTCCCTCATGAACCTTAAACATAGCAGACATTAGCAACCACATTCTCCCAAAAAGGCTTAGTCCTCCGGAGCACAAAGAGAGAGAGAGAGAGAGAGCAAACGCCTCAATTCATATGAACGTATACATTCCCCGGAATCATCAACCTGGATGGCATGACCTCGAGTTCGGAGGACAAAGAGACATCCGAAGACCAAACAGGTGGTTGTACAGATTACTGTGCAAATTCTTTCAATGGGCTGTGCCTAGCACCCTTTATTCAAGGAGGTCCTGGTCATGAAGAAGTCATTAAGTTATTGGACCACACCAAATGTAGGTAAATAGGTCATACATGGAGTGCTTGGGGTATAGAAAGTCAATCTTCTCCAACACCTGCTTTCCGAGCAGCTGACCGTTGAGTCCTCTCCGCCGGCGCCAGAGCTGGTCCTTCTCCATGCGGGAGCTGCTGACCGCCCAGGGCGCCAAGTGGCGGCCACCCAGGGGGAGCAGCTGGGGAGCCGGCCACCGGTTTTTGGGCCGGATCCGCCTCCCGCGGTGCTGAAGGATGCCCCGGACAACAATTCTCGTCCTTGCATACCAAAATACAACAATTAGCGACATGGACAACAAAAGGTGGTTATAAGGTTTAGCAGGAAGGCAAACACGTTGGTGTTAGCGAAGCACCGTTAGGCGCACATCCCATTTTCACAGCCCCACACCGACCACCGGCGTGGCGGGGCAGATGCAAGCAGACGCCCTTAATGTTCCTTATACGTGTTTGATTTATGGAAGGACTTTGAGGGATTGTGCCTTTTGGTCCAGAGAATTGTTGTAAAATGTGTCTCCGACCAAGTTCACTGCTCACTTGTTCAGAGGATTCCACTCTAGTTGACAAAGAGGATGTTGTCAAGACACGCGTGACACGTTGACTAGATTCGGACTCTTATACTGAACAGTGTGGAACATGTCCTGATGAGTGGGTTCTTAGCAAGTCAGTTGGCTGCAGGTAAGTGAGGCCTTTTGTTGGAATGCTGCGATGAGCACAATGGAGCACGCCGGCTCCATTCTGAGGTTGAAAAAACTTCAGGTCAGCCAGGGTCAGGCTCCGTGCTTTTGTCGATGCTGGGTGCCTGGTGCTGTTTGGTGCAAGGTACCAAGGGTCATTGAAAGAATGTGGTTGAGGATCCTTGAATCCGAACTGAGCGAATTTTGATGGGCAGTATCCCTACTGTTTTGTTTTGCTTTGCTGGTGTCGTAGATGCACGTGTGCTTGATTCATGACCGGTCTGAAGACGGGCGCCACAGGCGTTTTCAGACGGGGGAGACGGGCTTTGACAGGCCTTCATCACCTACGAGACCAAGCCGCAAGATGAGGAGGCGAGCGAAGAAAGCCAAGACGAGGAGCCAAAGACGAGTGTTGGAAGCCGCTGTATTTCGGTGGGTGGCCTTACAGGTCTCAGGAAGAAGCCCAAGGTTTCAATTGTTCTACCCGGCACATGAGTTGGTAATTACATTCAAAAGATAGCAGCCAGTTGCTGGAATGAGCTTGTTATACATTTCCCAGGGGAGTGAAGTGGATGGGTAGTTACTCGCCCTTTGGTGTTGTTCTTAAAGTTCCTTTTCCTTTCCCATCCTCTCCCCTTCCTTAGCTTTGCAGCTATACCTAATGGCGCAGTTTGTGGAAGACCTGTTTGAACACATTTGCCTAGGTAGGGAACCACCGCAGCGAGCCCACGTCACAAGCCGGAACCACCACGGGGTTCTCCACCAAAAACTCCTGTGTCTATGGAATCTTTGAAGGAACCTGAGGAGACAGAACTCCATCTTCTAGCGCTCCGGTTCTTTGATGTTCTTTGAACCTTACCCCTCAGAACATTTCAGAACTCCTAAGAAATCCAAGCAGAGTTCCGTTGCACTAGTTGCGGCCTTTTGCCTGAGCAGTGGCCCAAGCCCGCCCGTTTGCGCTCGCGTGGCCGTGCCGTGTGCCGTGCCGTTTGCGCGGGGCCAAAGCGCATGGGCGAGAGGATTCGATGCCAAGACCAGCCGCTTGGAAGGTCAAAGCCGAAATGCCCACGTCGGAGGGGAACTGCTCAAATGGACGGCTGAAAGTGCAATGGCACTGCCCCAAAAAGCATGACACATCCATGCCCACTGCGAGGGTTCTTCCATGTTCTTCCCAGCTTGTCCGGGATCTACTCTCACTTGGCAGTGGGGCTGATGGCATCCGGATCCCCATTCTGTTCATTTTTGGTGGTCATCGGGTGTCCTCGGGCGCCATGACGGTGTCTGGCGCCAGATGTGTTCAAGTCACTCACTCTTCACTCTCCGTGACTCACACCGGCGCAATCTTCAAAGTCGAACCCTCATCCAGTTTCGATTTCAACGTTGGAGCAGGGGAACCAATGCCTTCAGCAGACCATTGCAGGCCTATTTCCTCGTACTTTCCGAACTCAACTCACTGAACTCCATCTATAGGTTTAACTGAAAAAGCAGCGGCGAAATCGCGGACGTTGATACTGAGCCACCCCTGTGTGTTGAGCAGCTTTACTTTGGGCACTGAACCACTCTGTTCGAGTCAAGACTCTCACAGTCGACGCATTCCCACCTTGGAACCTGGTCGCGGGGGTCGTGCGACGGAATTGGGCTGGAGCCGGAGCCGGCAGAGTGGCCCCCCAAATAGACCCTAGGGCTCCAACTAGCTTGGGTGCCAGGGGGGTCTAACCACCTTCTGAGGATATGGTTGGAGCCCTAGGGTGAATCAAACAGATATTATGTTCTACGTGTGGGTGTTACTATAGGGGTGACCCTGTCACATCCACGGCCCCTGGATGGGACTAAGCACCATTCCGAGCTCTGTGACTCCTGGTCTGATTCTATCTCTGGGAGTCTAAAGTCCGACTAGTGACCTCCGGTCCCGTGACCTCCGGCTAGTACAGCTCGCCGGTTTCCAGTCCTTGCCGATCGTATATGTGCAAGATGGCCAATCCCTAGAGATTCAGTCGTACCTCGACCTCAGAAGGCACCTGGACCCGACTGGCTGGCACCCACCCCAGTCCCACCTTCTGAGAAGGTACTTGGATCCATAGGGATTACTGGTATCTTGCCAATGGTGATTGAGAAGTGCTGTGGGGACACGAATACTTGCCAACACCATATCGAAATATATCGAAATGGGCTTCTGTTTTGTGTGAGTCACTTCCGCTGTTCTTTGCAGCGAGGAGTTCTTGGAACAATGGGCCCTGCGCAGAAGCTGGGATCCCTTGGGAAGCATTCAAAAGCTACTTTGGCACCTGGCATGCTTTGGCTTGCTTGTGTACCTCCTGCCCAAGCGACTGGTGCCTGGATTGTGCAAAAGGAATCAGTCATGTGATGTGGGGGAACTGTCTATTTTCTTGGCCCCTTCGAGTGGTGAAGGCACCCCTGGATGATCCTAGTATATCTTAGCAGCTAGGTCCTAGCATATCGTTTGTGAGTCTGTTTTAAAAGTTCCAGACACTCCACGGGACCATCATACATTGACCGCCATGGACCTGTGGGATTGCTATGGAGACCCCAACCACCCCTGGCCTTTGCTCTGCGGTCCATAGCAGTCCCACAGGTCGCGTTTGGGAGTTCGATGGTTGGCGCCCACCCCAAGCATCGAACCGAAACGGAGGTAGTTGGTATCACAAAAAATGATAAGCATCCAAACACATGATAAGCATTACCAGTAACTTACAGTAACATTAAAAAATAATGAATGATCCCTCTCATTTTTTGTTGTTGACCCGTGACCCCTGTTCTTTTTCCAACCCAGGTGACGAAAGCTGCCACAGAAAGCTGCCGTCCCGAAGAGTCTTCAGCACGGGTCTCGCCGGTCTTGCCCACTCTGAGCCATTTGTTGGAGGTGCCGGACGTCTCGCACGAGCTCACGAGGAGTTTGGGACAGGTGCGAGGACCAAATACTCTTTTCGGGCTCGGATTTTGGTGTTTTTTTGGTTTAATGGTTCAGTTCATTCTATTTTCGCTTTTGATTACTGTATATATACCTAGAGACTCCAAATGCACCAAAATTTCTGCCACCTCAGCAAAAAGCGCCTTTACCCGTAATTTGCCCTGAAAAGGGCATTCGGCGTAATTTGCTAAAACCAAGATAGACTCGGCGTTTTTGGTTTTTGAGGTTCTTGAACATATTGATTGGTTGATTAGATGCAGAACCAATCCGGGTTGTGGTGATTCATGACAACTCGGCTCGACAATCCTCTAGGGATCAAATACCTGGTGAACCGGGCATTCTTGAGGTGCGCCCTGGCTGTTCACGCCCAGTGTTTTTCTTCAGTAGTTCCTACCTCTTGCCAAGCATTGCTGGCTTAGGGATTCATTGTAAACACTCAAATCCAGCCATGGATCCGATCAAGGAAACCGTTTATTAAACTTATAGAAATAGAGAAGGCCTGGCAGAAATGCCAAATGGTTTCTGTGGCCCGAGGCAACCCTCTTCCCTGATTTCCTATTAATTATTGCAGTGGCACAAAGCTGTTGTTTAACATATTCGGTGAATGGACAGATTTGATTCCATCACCAAGGTGAAAGTTAGTGGACTGGGCATGGACCATGCATAATTCAACATAAACTCACCGTGAACCAACCGGGCACCCTTGCGTGAAATCGTGGCAGTCAAGTTGCTCACAGTTTTCCAAAGTCTTGTCATCCCTAGATCTCGGCGTAATTGCCCGATAATTCGGCGTAAATCTCCGATAATTCGGCGTAATTGCCCGACAATTCGCGCAATTGTCCGTAACCATGTTTTTGCTTAGTCGGGGTTTCCTATATAAGAATCAACATCTTGGATGGCTGCACTGGAAAGAACATTGTTGTTGGCCCAATAGTTGCAGCTGTTCTACAGCCACCCTTGTCAAGGGAGGTTGGATCATGAAAGGGCGAAGCGGCAAAGCATTCTTTGGAGAGTGATCCGGAGAAGCAAAGACAGAACTTTGCTTGCCTGGATTGGCCTTTCAAGAAAGCCCTAGGGGAAATATCAAGAAGGTCCGGAAGACAAGGCATGCACTTAGGCAAACATTGTTGGATCTTTCAAGTGTGTTCTCTGTAAGCACTCCCAAACTGTGGATTAACTATCTCTGTCCCCAGGTGCAAGGATTCCAAGGTATCCAAACTGTGGATGCCAATCCCTCGGTCCTCATATGTAAGCCCAAACTGTGGATGGTCACCCTGTGGTTTGGTTTGGGAAAGGGGCGGGGAAGGGCTTGGTAAGACTGGCAAGATCTGGCAAGTGCTGGTTTGAGAATCTAGCGAATGAAAACCATTAAAGTCGGCAGTTTTCATATTGCTCGGCGTTATTTTTTGGATTCGGCGCTTTTCGATGAATTTGGCTGAAATCAGGGCACAATGGTGCCTCGGCAAAAATTTCTGCCAACGGTTCCTCTAGGTGTATATATATATATATATTATGTGTTTCAGTCAATGATTGTAATCTTTACATGTGGTTTAGCCTGTCCATTCATGCTTGGTTTGTGTGTTATATATCTCTATTTCGTAATTGTTCGGTGTTGCTTGTCTCACCCTATGAGAGACTTTGGGTTTGGCGCATCCATCAGCAGTCTAGTTCGATCTCGAAATGGCATATCGTGCCAGTCCCCGTGCTACATTGCCTCAAGAAGGTCCATCATCCACCAGCTACATCAAGCGTAACACTCCAACATGATGTTTGTTGACGCACTCTACCAGCTATATTGTGAGCAGGCTCGCAGAGGATAGTGCCGAACTGTAAAGACCAACAACTTTGCTCGCTTTAGGTTTGTTTTGATCTTGTTTTTGCTCGCGAATGGTCATCCAATTCCTCTTGCGTTGGACGTGCATGTGCCTGATGTTCCGTGTCAGGTGGCTATTGGACGCCTTGGAGTTTGCGGCTCTTTGCTGCAGAAGTCTGTGGCTTCTGCCCTGCAGAACTTGCGGAAGCAGTGGGAGATCTTGGAGCTGCTTGGATGGATCGAAACGGCTTGGACTGCGGAGCTGAACCTAATGCCGACCAGACAGGCCCCCCAAGACCACCACCCCTGGCCTGATTGGCAAAGATGGCAGTCCCATGCATCACCAGAGCCCTTTGGGCGTTCGCTTAAAGATTAAGAACACAACCTGAGAGGCCTTCCTTACATCGGCACCTGTGCCCATGCGGCATCCAAGGGCAACGGAGACAACAAACGGCTGGAAGTATTGGTAGTGGACGTTCTGGCCCCTGGAAAGACCATGACATCCTCTACACATGAGGGGGCTGTCCACTTCCATAGGAAGGTCGTGCTGATGACCTCTGTACCAGTGACTGTGCCAAGCCTTCGTCTCACTGGGTTCAAGCTGGAATCCTTGCCGCCTCACTCCTTAGGGCCCTGGAACCGGAGGCCCGGAGGTTTGGAACCGGTGTCACTGGACACAGAACCGGACTCAGACTGCACATGAGGTCAGAGGGATGTGCTATTTATAGACAGATGACCCGACTGGCCTGGATCCGAGTAACTGAGTACCTGACTTGCTACCATGGATCGGAGACTTCGCAAACCAAGCAACCTCAAGCTGACCAACGCCGAGCACCAGGACCACTCGACCAGTCCCCAGACGCTCCCAACATCCCCTGCGTCAAGGATTTGAGACCCCAGACCCCCTCCGGATTCGGGCCCGAGACGGGGTCGCGGTTTCTTCCGTCCCGGTCTTCGAAACACCGCCCCGCCCGCAGATAAGGGGGGTTGCTGGGTTTGTTGTTACTCCGAGCCAGCAAGTCAAGTGGTACTTGGGACCCGGGCGCCTCGGTGAAATCAGGCCAGAGATCTACTTCTTCAGCGGGCGACCGGGCGACGTCGGCGACGTCTTCCTCTCCACGGACCACGCTGCGTCCTGGGGCTCGTGCGGCGCGTTGCCGGTGTCTCGTTGGGCTGCATCCGCGGTGGTGTTGCACCAGGACCCGGGCCCGAAAAGTCGAAGTCAGTGGGTCACCAACAGAGGTTAAGTGACCTGAACTAGGACCCTACTGGGGTACCTATAGGATAGCCTACTATAGGGTTCTTCAACCTCTGCTGGCAGTGGATGGTGTTGTGATGTGTTGTGTTCCGAGAACGTGCCAAGTCTGAGAAAGGAATCGAAGATCTTTGAAGGCTATGGCCAGCCGGTGAGGTAGCATATTCACTCACGTCACTTAAGAAATCCCAAGAGACTTCTTGAAAGAGCTCCTTGGGCGCTCAACGCTGTGACTTGCAGGAGATCCTGGTGATGGGCGGCTTTACTGAGGCAGGCGATGTGGACCTCACTGACGCGCTGGAGCCCATGTCCAGGTCCGGTTTCGTGGGTCCAAGGCGGAGCAACATATGGGGTTCTCAGAGAGTTCGAACCAAACATCAGATGGGCCAGGACCTTCAAAGTCACCTCTTTGGAGTCTCTGTTTGTGACCTCTTTAGGGATAAACAAGTGACCTCATTCTAGGATCTCAAGGATGGTCACTTTGAAGGTCCTGGGGGTTCTGGGTTCCATGTTCAAGCCCATGCTCCTTCTTCGGATGCGTCCTTCAATTCCACAAAGAATCCTGGCCACTCTGAGACTTCGCGCTTGCCGCTCGCCCCATATAGATCTGTCCTACCAAGCGGTCTGTGGGTCCTGTGTTCCAGCGCACGAGTCGGGTCGATGTCGCGACTCTCGGGTGTTCCATCGCCAGGACCTGGCAGCGCCCCCAACACTTGCAACTCACCTTCCCGAGATCGGACCCTTGGATCGATTTAGAATTCGGGGTGGGTGGGTGCGGCTGCAGGGCTCCTGCCAGAACAGATCATTTGATAATCCTCTCAAGAAAATTAATTAAGCTATGGGCCCCCTCGTTTAACAAAGTCCAATCTTGCAACACAAATCCTAACAGAAGTACTATTGTTGCTGAGATAATGCAAGACAAAAAACCTGGGTAGGGTGGGATCCTATCAAAGTGTTGCTATATTGTTTATTCTGGATTCTGGACCTACTTTTGATCTCGGTGGGAACCACTGGGCCGATATAGACCACTGAGTAGTTTATGGGCATGAGACATTGTAGAAACAATTGCCTGCGCTCTGAAGAGAGAAACAGATCAATGAGAACTAGCAGGACCCAGATCTTGGCCATTGCTAGTGCTCAAATCGTCCACTTCGATTCTGCTTGTGGTTTAACTACCTTGGTTCATTGAGTTCCAATCTCCTTCAGGGAGGTGCCCACATGTTAGGGGGATATAACTACCGTGTCGTTCCCTGCTAAGGAGGCTGCTGCAGTGGTCATGGATGGAGAGGCTTCCCGTTTTGACAGGTTTTCTTGAAGACCTGCTATTGATAAAAAATCGGATCACCTAACTAGCCCCATCATCACGCTAGGACCATCACTGACGGTAACTTCACAGTGGGATGGTAAACCTGTTTTGATGCATTCCCCTACACCTCCAGTCGTGACTGGAGGTGTTTAGACTCCAAGCCCACCCCAGTCCCACCTTCGAAAGGTACTTGGAGGTGGGTGCCAATAATTGGCATGGATAATGCTCAAAAACTAAATGCAGCCGAGCGACGTGAGCGCTAATGCCGAAACATCCTTGGCACACAGCTCTATCTTCCTGAGGCGAACGTGACCTAATAGTCCAAATCTGTCAAGGCCACAATCCGGTTCCAACATCTTACACAAACGATGAAGATCCACTTCAACCACCAAGAGATCAGATTCCGGACATTCCTGGTGCCATGCGGTCATTTTTTTACAAGGTACGAAGTGCCGCAAAACGCCCTTCAAAACACCCTGCTTGCATGCGAATGTTCGAACAGGTCTACTTGGTGGCCGGCACCAGCTGTGGCGCAGAGCTGTGCCAGGTAGAGCGACACTCTGGAAGCGCCTGGGGTGCCTGGCGTCCAGCGTAGCTCGGCGACAGGAAAAGCGCAAGGTGTTTGAGCATTTTGGACAACTAAACCCACACACACACACATAAGAGGTGGACATGACCATCATTCACATTGGTCATACACAAGTCACCTCAAACGACATGCGTCTCAATAGTTCTTCCTTTCTTTCCTCTTTTTCATCCAAAACACTTGGTCTTGGCCGCCTTGGCCCATGCCCATCCAGCCAGGTCTTCCTTATCCATCCCCACGTCCAGCTGCTGTGCCTTCCGCCTCGCGCAAGACCTCTACGTCCTGGGCGGCCGCAGCCGCGGTCTTCCCCTCCGCGCCTTCGGAAGGTCCGTCGCCGCCGGTCCCTTTGCGCCGCTGGCGCCGGCGCCCACCGCGCGCTGGGGCGCGGCAGGGGCCACGGTACAGGGGCAGATCTTTGTGACTTGGACGTGGGAGAAGAGGAGCAGCTTGAAGATTCATGTGGTGAATTGGTAAGTATCATGGTAAGTATATCTATATTAAGGTTCGACATCTATCTACTGGATCTAAATATGCGACTAGGGCGGGCATTTCATAATGAGTACAATAAGGTTCGACATCAATCTACTGGATTTAAGATGATTTAAGTATTCCAGTCAGTTCATTGATGATAGATTGGTATAGATAATTGATGATAATTGTATACTCAGTTCGTTGCTTAGTTCATTATTGAGTTTGAACATTGAAAGAGCGTTGGTTGAGGGGTTGACATTCGCCCACCCATGCCCTGTGTTTTCGGAGTACCGCGACCTGTAGATCCGATCCCATGAAGATCATGCCACGTGGTCATGGACAAGAAGTGGCCAAGAATATGAAGCCGACCATACCAGGCCCCCTGTTTGGGGTGGTTAATGGATACCCCGAATCACCTCTAAGGAGCTATAATTGGACACCCCTTGGGGGGGCCTGGTAGATACTGGGTTGTTCGGTTTGTTTGTTAGGTGTGTTTTCCACGCTGTGTGTAGTCGAGTTCAGAGTTGTGCGGTTCAACGCTGTTCATGTGTGCGAGGTGGACGGTCTTTGATCCGTCCAGATTCATGTTCATGTCTACTTTGAGACTGCAAGACAGCCACAGCTCATTTTGAAGTGCCAATTGTTCATTCCAGCCCACACCCCCCAAAAACACACACACACACACCTTCTTCATCTTCTTCGCCTTGAGGTGTGTGGCGGCTACAACGGGGGACTTCCCTTGGACAGCCTGGAATGCTACGATCCCTTGAAGAACGCCTGGGCAGTGCTGCCCTGTCTCCCAACGCCCCGCAGCTAGGCTTGGCTTATGGAATCAAAAACATGCCCTGTTTGAAACAACGTGCCGTGGTTTCAGAGGGTCGATCACACAAGGGCCGCCAAGTTCGGTGGTTGATATGGACATCTTGGGTCGGGCTGTGGCATGAACGAATGGATTCATCTACTCGTTTCATCATGATGAGGCCATTGGATGGCAATCCTTTGTAACAGTCGTTTTGCTTCAGAAAGGGGCAATCCTTCATCTGATCTGCAAAGAAGAACAACATCACCTTGCTGAGGCTCCAGGAAATCTGAATCCAGGTTGGCCAAATTCATGCTAAAAAGACTAAAGACAATCACGTTATATACCCCCTCCAAAGAAAAACCACCTCCTCCCCAACAACAAGTCCAAAAGCACCAAACGAACGAAAGCTGAGGCAAGAACCTTTGCTGCGTGGCCGTGTCACCCTGCAGTCTCTACCTGCTTGGAGGCTCCAATGGCCTTCAACCCACAGGCGTTGTCGAGGCCTTCGAGCTCGCGCAGCGACCCTCGGGCGGCGAAGCAGAAAACGTGGGACCTGGGCCGTGTGAGAAACCACAAGCACTGCGGCTGGTGGCGGTGTTCTTTTTTGGGTGATATGGTCTGCACTTCCCGAGGGCCTGGAATCTATATATGGAAGATTATGTGCAAATGCATGTGCATCAAAAAAAACGCCCGCCAAACAAAGAGCGCAAAGTGATGAAGTCCTCTAGTAGTAGTTGCCACGGGCGCAGAGGTTCTTTGACCACAACCCTGGTCCCATGTGTCCCAGTCGCTAAGACATGATCACTAAATTTGAGATGGAAAGGCCTGCAAGCTAAGCATCATCCACTGGGCCCAGTAATGGGATATTCCCCTATACCAGCACCTTCCAACAGGTCTCCGAAATGGAGGCTTTTGTAGACTTAAACATCGCAGGTGGTGACCGAACTTGGAAGGTCCTGGTAACGACCAAGGAAACTCTCAATATATCGATTCGTGAGGAACAACTACAGGAAGCCATGGGTTTCAAACACCTAAATCTATGGCTTTCTTGTAGATTTTTCCCTCAAGTAAACCATATATCTCCAGGGTTTTGACATGTTTTGACCCTCACAACTAGGGCTTTGGACTGAACCAAGATGTAGCAGTTGGTTCGGGTGGTCCTTTGGGTAATGTAGACGGACGAAAAACATCCGTGGAGATGTCAAACCAATCTGGTGTCGGGGGGATTGACCAAGGAACAGTCTGTTACCAGGAGTCACAAAGGGGTGGTGTTTAGTTTAGTCCCTAAGTGAGTGGAGTAGCTGGGCACCCCTAGCCTCCATTAAGCACCCCTTTGTGACTGCTGGTATGTTATGGTATGTTTGACCTTCAACTTCGAATGTGGTGGCCGTCCTCAAGCTTCAGGGAATGCAGGTTTGGGGTGTCGCCCTCACTGAGGTCCTCTCTGCCTTTTCCCTTCTTTCTTCCTCGCTTTCCTGCCCAGCTCACTGCTCCTCATCCACGGCCATTCCCTTCTTCAGCGGCCTTTCCTGTGGCATCCTCCTTGGACTTTGCCTTGGAATTTGGGGCTCGTGGATTTTCTTGCGGACTTACTTGGTCCATCTGCCTCAGGCTGTTCCTTCGGCCCCTGTTGAGCCTGGCCTTCGACGCCGGGTCACTTCCTCGAGGCTGCAGGGCTACGTGCATGAGTGACCTCGTTGCCTTGCAACAGGACCTTCGTGAACTGACCAGAGCAGTAAAAGAGCTGACATTGGTCATCTCCCGTCAGCAAAGCGGTGCAGTTGGAGGAGGATCAGCTTCCAGCGAGGTGGTGGAGGGAGATAAGGAAAGTGTCAATTGAGCCACGTTTTTTTTGCAAATGATTAGGTTTATACAAAAAGGGAACTGTTGAGAAGTCGCGGAGGCTGTTCTGCTTGGGGCGTAGGCGTCGTGTAAGCATTTTGCGTAGGTGGGTGTTGAAAGATTTGCGTAGGCAGTCTTGCGTAGGCACCCTTTTCATGAAAGCCTGAATTTTCTTATTCAGACTTCTTTAAAAGTTGTTCAAGGGTCTTGGGGAAAGATAATGTTGGCTTGTAGTTGTTGAACTTGACACTTGCTTGCAAATTCCAGTGGGGAAGGAAAATGAAAATGAATTGTAACGACATGGCTACAGTGGATGTTTGAAGTTTGTTTGTCGAAGCTATGGGGGCACATTGGTTTTTGAGGTCAAAAGCTTGATCGTGCTTGGTCTGGCACACCGGCTCTTGAGCTACAACTGTGCGCACCCTGTTGGTACCATAATCAATGGACCTATTTTCGCGTAGGCCCCGCGTAGGCGCTCGCGGAAGCAGCGCGTAGGCAAGAAGCTATTGGCTGCTGCTACTGCTTGGCTGCTGCTTTTGCTGCTGCTTGGCTGCTGCTGCTGCTGCTGCTGCCTCTTGTTTTCTGCTTGTTGTGCGCTGTTTATGTGCTGCTGCTTCCACACTGTAATTGGATCGGCTTGATACAAAATCTATCTGGCCATCGGTAGCAAAGCTGTAAACGCCTTGTAAACAGGAACCTGCTGTGACCCGGTCGCATCGGGCCACTACTTGCGGATTATATAGCTCTTTTCGAGTCACCTGATGTGACTAAAGTTGGTGACAGCACCCTGCGTAGGCATCCCGCGTAGGCACCTAACAAAGAGAACCTCTCGCGTAGGCATTTGCTTGAGAGGGGAGCCCAGGCGTAGGCACCCGCGTAGGTACAGACCCAGTGTATAAGCCCCACACCACAAAAAAGAACACAACTCAATTGGGACCTCGTTGAGGACGGCTCAGGTATTCCGGGTGCTCCGTCAACGTACCTCACGACCAATTTGGACGTCCAGTTCGAGGAGGGTCCAGGTCCTACTCCTCAGTGGGTTGTTGATCTAGCCAAGAAGCACCTCACTTCTTCTCGGCATTGTGCAGAAGACCGTGCTCGTGCAGCTTTCGTTGCTGGATTTTGGGCAAAGGCTTTCTGGTCGTGCCACGCCAGTGAGCATCGCCCCAGTACCTACAAGCCGGGCATTGCTGCTACACATTGGGTCTTGCGTCGTGGACCAGGATTTGATCTGATTCGAGTGACCTCCCAGGCTGACGCTGACCGTTTGTGCAGGGATTTTCCCAATATCGTGCCGGTTGAGAAGCTTCCCAGCCTCACAGAGCTGCAGATTTTCTGTGCCGGGGCGAAAGCCCCTGTTCCTCCTTTGTGGAAATGGAACGGCGGCAGATAAACTTTGCATCTCAGCATCAGGATCCCTCGTTGCTGGTATTGACAGTGCCAGCAGAGATAGCAGTGGGTGGAGAGGAGATCAGTGCTCTTGCCACTCCTTTGGATGCACGTCGTGGTGGTCTCTTGCTAGCAATCCCATGTGGCCTCATAGCTGAAAGCGCTTTAGCTCCTGCTGGGGGTTTTACAGATGATACCTTGCTGGGGCCATCACATGAATTCGAGATGGATATGTTTGAAGAAGATGAGGGTGGAAATGTTTTCGCTACAGGTGTAAAGGGCCCTGTATTGGTGGCAGATTTCAACAATGCCGTTTTACCCCTTCTCAGAGAATACGATCCTGTTACAGATTCGACTGAGGAGATCTTTTCTTTTGTGGAGGCCAATCCGACTGCTATGCCATCAGCTGCTGAGCTTTTGTCAGTGGCCTTGGAGTGGGCAGCCAGTGACAGTGCCTCTCGTGTCCATTTTTACAGCGCTCGAGAAGAGCCGGCAGCATCCAAAGCCCCAGCTTCTTCAGGGAAGCAACCAGTTCCAAAGAAGGCAGGGGCAAAGCGGGTCACTACAGCTGGGCTGGCAGAACAGTTGATGGCTCTGACAGCGCAGGTGGCTTTGTTGCAAGCCACTCAGGACGAGCAGAAGGTGGCGCAAGACGTTCCTCCTTTACCAGTCCAGAAGAAGCAAGTCTTTGTCGATCCTGCCGGAGGGCCCAGCGACATTGTTTTGGGGGGTGGCTTGCACAAGATGCCTCCGGTTTCTTTGGGGCTTTCTCCTCCTGCCCAACGAGTCAGCACTCCGGCAAAGGCCCTACAATTGTTGGGGCCGCCTCCAAAGACCAGAATGTCTCCAGGGCCTCAATTCCCTGTGGAGAAATTGGACGAGCCTGTCGATCCTCTCAAAGCTCCTCCCGAGAATCTGGAGAACACATTGTCGCAACAGTCGGCTGCTCTGACCGCTTTGGTGTCTCATTTGATCCAAGGTGGAGACACCATGGGCCTAGAGGCATCTGGCGTAGCCGGGGCGAGTTCGAGTTCTACAAGAGGTACTTTGAAAAGAGAGCAGCTGCAACAGAGCCTTGCTACAGGGCAGTCGCATTTCTTCATGATGCTGCAGCAACAGATTTGTCGACGGCTTCAACCTTCCAATGTGGTTCCGAGGACCGAGGACGAGCTCAATGCCAGGGCTCCATCGCTCCTCACCTACCTAGAGCGCTATGGAGGCTTCAAGGGGCAAAAGGAGGCAGGCCTGGCAATGTGGGTGATTGCCCATGCAGTCGATGCAGCTTCCAGAGGGGATTTCCACATGACTCGGGAGTATCTCGCCTTGGCGGTTATGGGTCTGGAGCAAAGTGCTTTCGATGTGGGAGGTTGGGACTTAGCATACATTGTCACCTTGGCAGAGGATCCTCCCACAGCTTTGTTTCAAGAGAAGATGAGCTCAGTGACAGCCTCAGCTCGACCCTTTTCGCCGCTGATTCCTGCAAGTCTGGCCACGATTTCGCTAGCCTATTTGAAGGAGATCGATGTCCTACAGAATCGGCGCCAAGAGATGCGGCCCAAGAAGGGTCAAAGTGGAAAGCAAGAAGAAGATTCATCTCCGAGTCCAAAACGGAGGCCGAAGTTCCCAAAGAAGCCGAAGGCCATCGCGGATGGCCAGGCCTAGAGTTCCAGAAGCCAGAAATTCAGAAGACACCTCGATGCAAGTTCTTCTGGTGTGCATGTTGGCCCAGGGAGGGACCTGCCAGAAGCGTGCTCGTCTCCTTGTGACATGAGAACCGCTTCTACAAGGCCTCCTTGCTCCCCATTGCCTGGGGGTGCTGAACGGGGGGGTAAGCTCCCAGTGAGGCACCCTGAGGCCGGGTCGAGCGGGCTTCAGTTTCTCAGCTCCAGACAGGCCAGCTATTCTTTGTGGATGTCCAAGCTGACCACACTGGTGTTGAAGTCACGTTGTTCCTTTTCAGCATTTTTGGCAAACGCCATCCGTGTTTCCAAGAGCCCTATTTCTCGGCCTCCAAGGACACCGTCTCTTTTCCCTGTGCCGGTTCCCACGCCGGGAGCCTTTGACAGGATGCCCACCGGTCTTTCTAGTACCAAGAGGAGGTCGTTGCTGTTGAGAAGGGTCCTACATATTTGCTGCATGGCTTTGAACTTTTGGCATTTTGCTGGGACCTTTGTCAGTGATGACCTTTTGTGGAGGGAGCCCAATTCAGCACACAAACAACTTTATGCTCGGTTGCGCTCCTTTATCAGAGCGGATGGGCCACATGAGATTTTTGACATGCTCCATGTTGGCCGCAAAAACCCGGAATTAATTGCAAGGTTGTCGGAGCTCTCGGCTCTCTTGGTGAAGCTGGGGAGCTCGATGTCGCCATATGAGAAGGC